AAGTCAGTGTTTTATCCTCCCAGACGAATCTGGTACCAATTTACCGTCCCCGGAGGGTAGAAGGCTTGGTTGGCCTGGGCGGGTGTCGACCTGGGATTCGAACCCAGGACCGCGCGAGTGGTAAGCGCGCCACTTGTCACTACACCACCTGCCTCAATCATTACCAAACAATAATGCGAGCAAACTATATGTACCGTATCCTCCAAGCCAGTGAGCAGGCACGTCCTGCTGTTAAGGGGAATTTTTGCAAAATACGACCCCCTCCTTCAAAATTTTCTCTTTGGTACGTCCCCCTTGCCCAATCCCCCATCCTATTCACCATATCCCTAAAATTCTCCCAACTTCCTACCTTTTCCCGCAGTTTTTTTTTCGGAAATATCTGAAAATTCATTTTTTTTCTCGCAAAAACTGCAATCTACAGGTAGGGGCAGGGTGTGAGGATGGAGTGTAAGGCGCACTTGAAGAAGGGAAGACGGAAGAACCAAGAAAAGTCAGCGAAAGAAAACATTTTTCTCTAGGGGCAGACACTACCCGCTCCATCCAGCGACCAAATACGACCCCTCTCCGCTCCCTGAAGATCCTCAACGTACGTCGCGCTTTGCTTGGGTGTTGCTCGATAGCTAACGGATTCATTTATTTTATTCATGGAGCATCGTCGAAATATTTCCTTTAAATTGTTATACTCCTTCTATAGTGGCTTATAATTTGTAATTATTTCAAGCCTCTGATTACTATTTTTTACCACTTCTAGTTTTTTCCACTGTTCTCCTCAAAGATGGTCATGGTATTGAATTTGAAACGAACACCTCGCACTGGTCCCATGCTTCTTCATTTGTTTCCAGTACTTTCTTGATCTGAGGGCCACTGAATCGGTGATGGGCTCGTGAGCCTGTGATGCGTGCCATACCCCTTCTCGACCTCCCTCGCTCTCTTACCCGGTTGGTCTTGATACCGTAATATCTACCGTAATCACACTTCTTTCCCGTTCACAGCCTTTTCCATGTCCACGCATTGCTTCTCTGTAGACGAGTCCATCCATATTGGACTGAGTGGAACAGCGAATGCTGACTAAACCACCAACCTCGCGTTAAAAGAATTTTTTTACTCGTGCTCTCAAAGGGTAGCCCCCTCCAGGACCGACGCTTGCCCTACAAACTTGCTGCTAATGTTGTGTGTCTGACGAAAGTGATTCCAGTTTTTCAGCTGCTCCATTAGCCCAGTATACGGTACCATGTTGCTGAAAGTACAGATGAACTACATATTAGCACAATAGTCCTACTAAGAAGGTGAATACCTGGGCGCACCCTCCGATACTGCGAATACTCTTCGAAGGAATATTTGAACAAATGTGGGTCGCAATAGCAAATCAACTGCTTTCACCCACATCAGTACCGGTGAAACGATGGCACCGTCGGGGAGTTTGACCACTCCGTCGCAGGTTCTAAAATTAGCCATCGTTGAGACTCTGAAAGGATTCCTTGATTCCTTAGGGAGATAAAGAAAAGTGCAACGAATTGCCGAGTAGCAGGGTCGGGCACGACGTACTTTGAGAATCCCCAGCGAAAGGTAGAATAGGGGGCGGAGAAAGGAGGGGTCGTATGTGTCTTAGAGAGAAATGATTTCAATTATTGACTTTCTCAGTTCTTCCGTACTAAGTACGCTGTTTCCCTTCCTTTCTCGTCCCTCCTTCGCACGACGGCTACTTTTTTAGGAAAAGTGGGAACATTTTCGGAACAGATTTCCAAAAAAAGGTAGGGGAAATTCGGTGGTTAGAAGATTAGAGAAAGGGGAATCGACATAAGAACTAGCAGAACCTTAGGTAGTATGGTCAAGCGAAAGTGGTTGGAGTGGAAATGGATCTGCACTAAGAAGGGGAATCTTTTTTTTGGCAAAAAAATCTGAATCTTGCAGAACCTAAGTGCTCTACACCCCTTCCACGGTAACTTGACTAATCTAGATAATTTGCGCACGCCCCATCCTGAGCACGTTGCTATGCTCATACTCTAGACCCGTGTAGTTATAAGAATCCCGGTTCGTTCCTGTTAATCCCCGCCCCACGTTTTTATCTTTTAGTGGAAGGAGCTAAGTAAACACTAGCTTACTGGGAATGAAAAACGAAATTCCTCCTCGCAAAATTTCTGAATGTCAATTACCTCTAATTGGCTCTTCCAGTGATATTTTTCAACAACATCCAAGTATGAGCGATCAGAAAATTTATTTGTTAAGGAAACCCTCAGAAACTATAGATAGAGAACTGTAAAATTCAACCTCACTTGAATTCTGGCAGATCCCTAGAAAAATTCACGGCATGCCGTAGAACGACGTCGTTTTTTCCATTCAGTACTATTCCTTTGAGCTGAAAATTATTTTATCCTGAGACATCAACTTTTTTGTGCGAACTACCCTTTTTCTGGTGTGTGAGGCGCACTATATGGTTCACAGTCGCCATAAGGCTTTTTTAATGTATCTTTGTCAATGTGAGTTATTTATTTTGAATAACAACTGCTTTAAAAACAA